AAGAACGTAAAACATTGTATGACAACAAGGTTGACTTCTTAAGTGTTTATGATGGAAATTGAACGAAAACACCACAACACACAGTTAGGCGCATAGATTTACTGTGACATCGCACACCCCAACATTTGTGGCCTGGTTCCAATTCAAAAGGCTTTCGGAAAAGTAGGCCTTTTTATGGTAACAAGTAGTTTGTGACAAATATTAGCTGGAGAATGAGAATAAGTTGTTGACAAAAAAAAAAAAAAGATATCATTTTACCTAATTTGGACGCATCGGTTCAGGTTGTTTACATTCGTGACTGTCCCTATGTGCCTCAAATGAAAAGTAAGCATTTAATTTTCAATGGAGTATGAGTTGTGTGGTATTCTGCAGCACATAAACTAGTAACGTATTATACGTTAGGCAAACTGATGTAGGTCATTACATGTTCGACCACGCCTGAATACAATAGTTTGATTTACTTACCTCAAGATTAATCTTCTGCGGTATACGTATTCCGTATACGAATTCCATATGTGAATGAATGACAAGAAAGGTTACACGAGGAATGACGGAATACGGGACGTAACCAAAATAACTGAAGATGTCACGCTGTAACCGTTAATGCTTGCATACACATTCGACTATTGTAAGTGGAATGACAAGATATTCACAAACTGCTGTCCTTAAGATTACCCGAAAATGATTGGGTCGTGACTTATGAAATGAAATTTGATGAAAACCATTATTACATTTTCATCTCTTTAGTCTAGAGGAATATTTATCGTTGAAAGTACGCACAATAAAAAATTTCCGCAGGCCAGACGGGCATTTATAACTGATTATTATCGTCAAAAATGATTTTTAACATTTTCCGAACAAATTTTTGCAATGAAAGATAGACTCGTTAATATATAAAGTGTTAAGTAAAACGTGAAATGATTACAATAAAATGCTTTAGGTAGTGCAAAAGCAACAAAAACAATAATAAAACAAAAAAATGTGGGTGTTACATACTCCAAGCTGTAGTATTATACCGAATGAATGCTGCGGGTGCTGCTGCTGCTGCTGACTTCTGCTGCTGCTGACTTCTGCTATCACTATAACAGATATTATCAGATCACCAGCAGCAACCGTATGATGTGATACTTAAATGAACACACGATCATGTTACTACTGTGTGTACTGCCTGTGAAACGTGGGAAAGAATTTATTTCGAAAAAAAAAAACAAAAAAAAAAGTTTTGAAAGAAGCAGAAAGAAACGAAAAACATAATAATAATAATGTCGGTGATTGAACTCATAGCGCGTGTTAAAAGTAAAACTGTTTAGAAACATACACACACGGATACTTTAATGCCTACATGAAAAAAAAAGATTATTGTTTTGCGTTAACCGTTCTTGACTTGAGGGAAAATTGATAATCAAACTAAATTGATTTGAAACAAAAGATTCTTTCAAAGCTCGCTTTATGCGCTATAAATATCTGTTGATTTGTGTGATTAAATTTAACAAAGTCAAATACTTCGCACACGTATAAGACTTTACAAGTTTTCAGGCTTACCAAGGAAATGATATTAAATCCGCTACCGAGATAAAATTTTGATCGAATGAATATCGATATTATAGCTATTTTTAAATGGTTAGTAGTAGTTGCTGATGATGACTTCTTCGTAGAAATTTCTTTCATGAAAACGGGAGCAAAGTTCTCTTAAATCCTTAAATGGTCATGAGTAAGTTATGCCATTCGTAATGAATTTACTGACTTGTCTCGTCTTTCTGAAATTATATATTATTGTTATTAGGATGGAAAGTCCTCGAGTCGCCGCCTTAGCAGCTTAATATCACATCTTAAGTTAATTCATGCCTCAAACCCTCACTTTCAGTAGATGAATAAAAATATTTTCTCAAATTTTCCCTGACTTAAGCTGAACAATGCTCAATAAGTGGGACAGTGGAAAAGGCAGCGGCAGAGAAAGTGACTGAGCAAAGCGATGCGGATGTCTGTGCGATTCCTTAATGATTTCATCCGAAAGCCAGCAAAGAATATCTGGACAACTGAGGCCTATATCAAATTACTAACCCTGCTCAATAGGCTACAACTTCCTAATGCACGAATATATGGACGCATAAAAGGGAAATACAATATAGAAAGAGGATATAAAGGAAATTTAGGAAAAAAAAAAACACTCTTCCTTCGGGAAACGTCATTACGGCTATTATTACATTTTTGCCAGTTTGCCTGAACATTTATTATTAAGCTCTTTGACTAACATTTTTACCAGGCTGAGGTAACGAAACTTGTCTTTCATCTGGGCGAAGGCATTCGCTGATTGTTTTCTTTAATCTTGTACTCTATACCCCATACAGAGCAAGCCTAATTAGTTTCATCATTCTTTTTGTAGTTGTAGTTAGTAATAGGTAAAGGAAATTATAACAATTGTGAATGTTAGGAAATTAACCGTTAGTCGGTTCCTTTAGCCATTCGTTCGTTTCGAAGAATGCTAAGCTCGATATTGCTCGCTTGTTATTTGATTGGCTAAGTGTGTTAATAATTAACATTAAAAGTCATCCGAAATGCAGATATACCAGCCGAACAACTTTCAAGAAGTAGAAAATATTGATCTGATATACATTGGTAATATCTAACAGGCCTATATGTACGACTCAGATCGTAATGATTTTGATATTTATTTAATTTTTTTACCTGATACTGAACCCTTAACGATAAACGTTTAAACGATAATCCCAAGAATGGCTATCAAGTGAATAAGATGATTACGTACGATGTTAGCCGATGTTAGCCCGCCACAATAACTTTATGATTTCATCATGAACCTGGCTAATTGAAAGTTTATTATAAGGTTCACTTATGCCAGCTTCAGCGAATTATAATTTTCATCAAGTCTACGCAGATACTTACTGATTCATAAATCCAGATTGTTATCGTGACTTATTTTGACATTAAATCCTCCATAGGTCTCGTTGTCAACAATTTATCCTATGAGTTAGACACCATATAATTTGCACATCGCCAATTAATGGAAAGCCTTTAGAAAGTCAACCGTGATGTTTGGGAAATGTTTACGATGTATCCGCAAAACCCTATGAATTTCCGCTTCAATGTCCATTGAAACAGATAATCGCTAAACACGTAGCCGCAGTGAATTTAGAGCAGCGTAGATCGGTTAACTGGCCGCTTGACACATAACAATTTTTCGATTGTTTACGATTGTTAACATAAAGAATTATTTTGACATAACGGCGACACATTCTGTTACAAACCAGCAAAAACAATTGATTTCATTCATTTATAATCTTGAGAGCGAACCAAGTTAATAATGATTTTCGACGTCGGAAGAATGAATAGCTTATAAGTGATATCTGAAAGATCGGGGACCTGATCACTTATATGAACATCGATGCGACGTGCACTTCTATGATCATTTCAGTTGCAACACAAACACATGTCAGACTAATCAACTTGCTTTTAAACGCTGCCACCAAGTATCAAGTGAACTCAATGTCTTCTTAATGAAGATTCTTTCAGAATTGAAACATAATTATTAAATTACAGAGAGCGCGAAATCGGCTAAAGAGCTTTGTCGCGTAGGAGCTGCAAAAATTTGTTTTACGCCCACCACTTTTATATTTGTTGTTGCATTGTCATGGGTAATGTCAGTTAGAAGACTAGTTTTTTTGCTTTTGAAAATATTCTTATTGGCAGTTGATGTTGCAGGGTAGACGTGTTCCTTGACCAATTTCGGCCATTTCTAAAAGTGTCACAAGGGATATGTTTACTACGGACTTGACTTGACAGATGGACAGACAAGACATACATATACTTGATCGCATCTCTCAAGCTTTCCTCTGCATGTGTATGTATCCGCCATCGTTCGGTGATAGTTCGGTATAGAAAAACGAAACAAAGCATAGTTCCACGACTTTATTTTGATGTAATGAAGAGAAATGGAAGGCTTAAGGCATACATACAGTCATACTTAATTGTGCAGAAGTGTTTTCGCGTAATCGATTACTCATATGTAGGTCTTAAGCATCAACTAATGTCAACATCAATAAATGAAAATACTGAACTTTGATAATTAATTATTTATTTACTTTAGGATGATGTTAAGCTTGAATCTGTTCGATCTATTTCATATAATATTCACACGATTCGTTGTTTTTTTTTTTTTTTTTTCTTTAATTCACATGTTTGTGGATTTTGTTGTTTTTTTTTTTGTTTTTTTTGTTTTTCCCTCTTCGGCTTAGCTAGCTAGCTAAACGTACATGTTTGGCTGCTCAAAGAATTTCATTCATAAAAAAATCTTTACACTCTTCGTAGGTTTGTTGTAAACAAAGGAATATGAAAAAGAAACGAAAACAAAAACAGGTTTTTCATCCGATGACGTTAAACGCTTGATATGCTGATGTTCGCAATACATGCGAACGAATATGTGAGATAAAAAAGTTTTGGTAGCATTCAACATGAAACGTCTCCCCATTGGCTAACAAGATCGTGCCGACAATAAAAGTAATAAAACGAAATACATTCGTTTGGAGCGTTCGGCCCCATGATGATAGTAGCAATCGAGCGCGTGTCATAAAGAAGCTTTGCATTGTCTGAGTTGTGCACGCTGTTCAGTTGGGTGACATACGTAATATTAACTTCTTCCGTGACTCAAGCTTAACAGAGAGACAATCACTCTATTAACGTAAGCGTTTGTGTGCGCATGTATATGTATATAAGTGTTTTCGTTTTATTATTTTCTTGAGATTTGTCTTTGCGTTATGTTCTGTTGTGTTTTGTTTATATAAAAATCTTCAAATAAAATTAAAGGTCTTCTAGTTGGAAAAGATCATTCCATACGAATACGTGAACGTGCATAGATCTTATTAGAAAACCAAAATATTGTTTGATCTTCATTCTTCTAACAAAATATATATATATATATATATGTATGTATATGTACATATATATATATATATATATATATATATATATTTATTTATGTATATATATACACAAATATTTGTACAAATAAATGAGAACAATTAACCAAAGTTTTAACCAAACCGTGTGAGAAACATTATAGAGAATAATTTCAAATATCAGAAAAAGTTCGCAAAAAAAAAAAAGTTTTGAGAAAAAATTTCATATTAAATTCTTTGGACATCAAAAATTCAAAGTGAAGTTAATGAATTCGACCGCTAGAATGCCGCCTAATCATCAATTTATGTTAAATTCTTTGCCGATAGAACCTGTCTCCCGGACGTATCAATATCGCAAAATAATGAAACCGATGTTGGAACGCAAACGGCGAGCCAGGATTAATAAATGTTTGGATGAATTGAAAGATTTAATGACCGGTACCTTGCAAGCGGTAAGTGCTCGGTCACGTATATTATCGACTAACTTATAACTCTGCGCCCGCTTCCCGTTAACGCATACTCTAGTATTGCGTATATACAACTTGCAGAGTTATATTCTCATCGTATTACCTACCCATCAAGCAACCAATAGGAGGCGATCGGAAGAGGAAATTAGCTTTTGATAAATTTAACCCAAACACCTGTTGCTTTATATCAACTAACTAAGAGCACTTATGACAAGTGATAATTAGCGCATAGATATATATATTTGCTATATGTCGGAATCAATGATTCATTGAACGCATCAAGTAAAATTTTATTCTTCACTTAATCCATAGCGTTATTGGTCACAACACTTTCCCAGTTTACCGATGATAGATGTATCTCTTAGCGGCGGCATTACTTCAACTCAAGCACTCCGCTGTCAGATAGTTCGCTGTAGTTCAGAGCGAGGTTGATATTTGAAGAATATGACATGCGTCATGAAAAATTTCTTCCACTTGGTTCGCAGCATAAGGTCAGTCATTATCGATCTGGTGAAGCATTTTGAAAAATCTCCCGTTGCATATTTTATTTTCAAGTCTTGTTCTTCTTATTGTATTTGGCACTGTACCGGCGTCTAAATCCTTACTTAAACTGATATTGCGCCTTGAAGTCTCGATTATACAATGCTGATGTCATTGGTCTGCCTTTTATCAAAATGACTTGTTTCTCAAGTTATCAAAAAGCACACAATTTTCACCACAAGTAACCAAAAAAGGCGAAAATATAAATCTTTAGTCTCCGTGGAATAATCTTTCGTACAACAAGCGCAGACGAGCTTTCCTAGCTTTTAAAACATTTTTTCATATTGAAAAGTTTGGAAGCACTTTATAATTATAAAAGAGTTTGGAAATTTGTTATTTTCAAGCTTTTTTTTTTTTATTTTGACTTTTTACCCGCTAAACACATTCTCCACAAATCATTTCCTTAGTTAAGTATTCCGCATATACGTGTTTCAATATTCAATGGAACTTTTCCTTAAACGAAAACAATGAAAAGCATTTGAAAACATTATAGTGGGACACGATCCACCGTTAAGTACCATACACAACTATACAGTTGTTCACATATAACGATGTCTTTAAAAGAAGATGTTATATGAGAAGTGGTCGAACAAGTGGGACCATTTTCAAGAGCATTCTTGCTTGGGCCAAAACATGTACCCATTCGAAATTTCGTCAAAATATCTTAAAAATTCCGACAGTTACGTTCAACATACGAATACAAGACGGACCGACAAGCTTAGATCGTTGCATACGATGACTTAGCAAGTGATTTGTGCGTCTATCTCAAGTTCTTGCGTCTGTTATGTACATCTGCACAGATTTAATTTTACTCTAGTAGGGTATAAAAATGCTATTTCCGGATCTCCGGATGGCCGGAGACTGAATATCTAGTCTTGAATCGGAGAAATCGGTTTTTCCATTCAATGCATCCAGCGGAGAAGATGACAAGAATAAACGCAAGAACGTAGAAAACGCACAATACTTACAATAAGGTATTTACCTTCTTTCTCCACCACGAAGAATAAATGAGGTATATAGGATGATTGTAGTGCTCGGCAATATCCGATTACTTGACTTTTGCACCTAATCCATATAAACTATCTATCGATCAGGAAACACTCGATTCCAAGATTTTTTAAAGTCTATTCCTTATTTCCTCGGCAATCATAGCTAATGATATGCTGGGCAGTTAAGTTTGAGCGCGAAAGACTTTTATTGGGATTACCGCCACGCGGTAGCATGTTGATCTGTCGATTTTGGCATCCCTGCGATTAAATTGCAAATGGATTATTGACCATAATGTTATAAGCGTTTCTTGCCGTTAATGGATGTGAAATTTTTTTTTTAAATACCAACAATTTATAAGGAAATCATATAACGTATTATGTAACACATTGGTCAATAATTACCGAACCGAAACTTGTCGTATAGTAGATATATAATAGATGTCGTCGCTAATAAAAAATCGTTAGCAGTTTTACAGGGTGCCAAGCCTTAAAGAACGCTCGTCAAAATTTCACGTTCAGTTTTGCGAACGAACGAACAACGAATGAATTCAACTTTCCCGTGCTAATCATACAATGCTATTTAAGGGGAAAATATGTAATTAAAATTTAACATTGGCTTGAAAAAGTTTAACGCCAGCTCAAATCTGAGGTGGCTTGCGGATGACGTTGAAAAAAAAAAAAAATTCAGAAAATTACAAGAGCGATAGTATTCACTACTTTGCATTAGAATATAGGCACAGGAAAGATGCTTTCGATGTGGTGCGCAAACACCGTTCAACAAATTCGCGGATACAAGGCCAAAATTGCATGCAATGAGGTTTGAACTGCTGCCACAACCATTGTTCTCTGCAAATCTATTCTCCAGTGGCTGTTATTCGTTTGCACATCTGACGAGTATCCCGTGGGGGAAAAACTCGATTCAAATGATGAGGTCATGGTGTGGAAACTGAAGCGTAAATCGTTTTATAAAAGGCTTTTCGAAATATTGCAATAGCGCTGAGCTGCCTGCGTCGCTGTTCAAAGACGATATGTTAATGAATAAACTTATGTTTTGCGAAAGCAGTGTTGTTTCGATATGACGATCTGGCTTTATCATCGACTTTGGCGGTTGCTCTAATATTTCGTACGTTGCCGAATTACGACACGAATAAATTGATCAAATAAATATTGTACCGTAGGTCGTAAGCTTAAGCTGGCGGCTAAAGAAAGTCGCAACAATTCGTAGCATTAATACCATTTATTGCGTCCAGCTAAAATATCCAACTTGCGCGAATTAGCTCTGAGCGCACCTATTGCACAGTGTGCCAAATCTAGGCGAGAAAATGGTGGTTCACGTCCACACTGCAGCAATCGACATTTTTATGGTGTTTAACATCCGATTATAGTCTGCTTATATTCTATATACGTATATATGTATATATACTTCTTGTTAACTTTAGAACCTTTCGTGCACAGACTAATATATTATGTTCAGTAGGCTGTTCGTTGATGACATTGTGGCTACGTTTGATGTGAAGGTCGAGATTATTGTCAAGCTCAACTTTCAGTTACTGTTCGTGTGCCGTATTTCTTTTATTTATTTTACATTGAGTCGCTGAATGAAATTCTAGCAACTGCTCCATATATATATATATATATATATATGACGCATTATATATATTAAAAAGCAAAATAGTTACAAGTATTTCTGTTTGGCTTCTGCTGCGACCTTTCTGAAAAAAATATGCTTTAAAAGTAAAATCGAAAATCCGATTTTTGTCCTTTTTGGCAATGACAAATGTCTTTGTTCTTTTTTTTTTTTTCTTTTTTTCAGGATGGCGAAAATGTGTCGAAATTGGAGAAAGCGGATATTCTAGAGCTGACCGTACGTCACTTGCAACGTTTACGGGCGAAGAATGCTCTTTTTGTGCGTCACAACGACTCTTTAAATATGGAAAAATTTTGGGCTGGCTTTCAGCATTGCGCCGGCGAGGTAGCGCAATTTCTCAGCAAATATGATCGTAATGTTACCGGCGATCTTATACAGTATATAGCAAATTATGTACCGAATGTTGCAATAACGTCATCACCAGTGTCAATAATGTTACGTCAGACATTAAGTGTGCCGAATACAACGCGAGAAGCACTACAATACCAAAGATTAATCAACAGCAGCACCAAAACAACGGCTACAGCAACAGCAACAGCAGCAGCAACAGCAACAGCGTGCACTACATCGTCGACATTAACTTCAACTTATTGTAATCACGAGTATTATGGAAACCAACACCAACAACAATCTAATCGCTATCCTTATGCAAATGAAGTTTTAATGAAGAAAGAAGTAAATGACAACGAAAAGGGAAATGTGTGGAGGCCTTGGTAAAGAAATGAAAGCAAAAAGTTAGTTAGTTAATATTCTAAATATAATTGTAAGGCAGATAATTAATAGGACTTACAAGGAAAGTAAAGGACTGTTCAGCAGAGATGCGTACATTTAATGTATATAATCAACGATTTGTTTTCTTATTATATTCTTTTTCTTTCAATATGAAATGTTAAGCCATTTTCAAAAAGAACCGTTTCTTTCAAATAATTTAACTTTGCTATGGCAATCATTATAAGATATTGTTAATAAGGTATTGTTGTTGATTGAGAAATCATTGCTTCAGCATATGTTGTCATGAAAGAAATTTTTTTTAATTTTCTGCTTCTCTCTCACAAACTATTTATATTTGAAATACAAGGCCAAGCTTTATTCCATAAATGTTACGTTACAAATAACGCTACACTTTGATATTATTAAGTCGCCATTAAAGAGAGCAAACAGTTTAAATTCCATATATAACATGCAACACGGATGAATGAAACGGTCCAAGCTGAGTTGTGATAGAACAAAATCACTGTTGTTTCTTTTCGTGTTCGAACACAACACAACAACACACTTCAATTTGCTTTCTCATGGATTTCTTCGGTTTTCTTCTTCTTCTTTTTTTTTTTTTTTGCACAAACTATTTTTACAAAATATTAGTGTAAATAGGCATAGCCTGTACTTTCTCACGATGTAGCTCCATTTATTGCGATTTAGAAAATCATTTTCTTTGAATTTTTTCATCTTCTTCTTCTCTTGTCTGAGACAAGATTGCTTAGCATTTGTACTTCGAGCAATTGAAAGCGAACGTAAACGCGTTACGAGCACGCGCGCTTACCTTAATCTCTTTTAAATCTTCTTTCTACTCTACACCCCCTAATGCTCCTCATACGCTCTAAATTATTTCTTACGCTTATATCAGAATTTACATTAAAACTTTTATATTCACATATACATGTATATATATGTATATATATATATATATGTTTGTTCATTCATTAAATTGGAATAATTCAGTCCGTCAGTAACATGATTAATGCTCCAGTTAGACTTGGGAAAATATATGCAACCATTTAATAATAGAAATGTAAACAGAAGGAGTGAGGGAGAGAGGGAGAGAGAAAGAAACGATTTCTAGCTTCTCATTTACCGCATTGCAAGTCTTGATGAAGGAGTTCGACATGCGACTTTAATTTTTTTTGTAAACCACTTACGTTATGTGGCGATTCCTTTTAAAACAATTTATTTATTTTATTAATCAATACCGCTTATTATCATTATCTTTATTATTATATATTATCATCATTATTATTATTATTATTTAACTGCAATTTTATTAAAACATGTTATTTAATATAATTTATATTTAAATCATTTGCATAACATTTAAATATTTTAATTTTAATTTTTTTTTTTTTTTTGTCATTTCTTTTCATTTTATTCGTTATTGTAAAGATTTTTAGGTGTCTTATATACTGTATATGTATGTATAACGCGTAGATATATTACGTAGTTAGGTTTGTATATAAAAAGCACATTCAAAATAAAGTTTAAAAAAATAAAATTATTTAAAAAAAAAAAAAAACCAAAAATATTATTTAAAAATTTTTTGAAAAACATTTCTCTTTCATAATATGTAATATTTGTTTTAAAATATTGTTTTTATTTATTTATTTTTTTTCTCATTTTCATTTATTTTTAATTTAGTATTTGTATTATATGTATATGAATGATATTTTGCTTTTGTAAACTGGGATTTAGCATTGATTTCGCTTAATAAAAATATAAGTTTTCTTATAAAATGGAAAAATTGCTTTATATGCATATTAAGAATATGAGTTATACCGACTACCGATTACTGATTAGTTCAAATGTTCCTAGATCGTAACGCGTCTTGCTGAGATGCGATTGCGAAACAGTTCACTTGCATTTCGTATATCGTTTATTTTTGTCCCTACGTCCCATTTTTCGTCCGTTCTCACTAAGTATGCTTGCCATAGTAGAGATGTGGTAAATATCTTTTTATCTAAAATTATGCAAACGGTCACCCAATTCGGGATAATGAGTTATTTTTTACGCTTAGCTTTGCATTGTAACTCTAAACGCTTTACTTATGCCAAGGGTTGATCTCATTCTCACTCTCAGGCATATTTGCAGATTGTTTTTCATGCATTTATGCAGTGCAAGCATTTTTAGTGTAGTTAGTTGTAAAGGTTAAAACAATTTCTTGAGCGCTCATACTGCAAAATCTTTCATATAAATTTGATCAGAGATGTAGCCCGTGTTGCAATAAAATTATGGTTTCGTTTGGCCCTCGCACTATGATGAAGACAGTTTTAAATAAGTTTGGGAGACGCTTCGTCGTGAGGTTCAAAAATGTTAAAAAAAAAAAAAAAAACAGTTCAACGTTGTGCGGCGAGTCAACAGGACGACATTATTTAAATCATTTCTTCATTTTCCATAATGTTTTACATATGAATATATACGAAAATAATTGCAAACATTCTGACAAAAATTTAGTACTTGCATACATAGCCAACATCTTGGGCAAATTCTCGCGAAATTCTTGAAGACTTGCTTGGTTCGAGACGTCCTGCAATGAGAGATACTCAAAAAAGGTTTTGTGCTTGCCCATATCGACATAAAAGTCTCAGCAAACACGTCAATTAGTTCTACTGATTGCAGCGCTTCAATCAGAGAGCAGGGCAAAGTCAAGGAAAATCAATCAATTTTATTATATTCATATATATATATATATATATATAGGTTGAGGTGATAAGTAAGTATTTTAAAGATTTGCTCTAAAATGAATCGTTACATGTAAGCCTTATTTGATACTCATACGCTCCGTACACCGTAATTACTTATATTCACATTTTAATTTTTAGAGTTGTACGCTTTTAAAATTTAGCGGGGTAGTAGGTATCCAAGATACGCCCTAAGGCGTAATATATTAATACAATATTTTTCTTGTGTGAGTGTGTAAAAATGATGTAAAGTTTATTTTTATAGGTTTTCGTTATCATTCCAATACCTTGTTTAAATTTTTATTATTTTTATTTTTATTATTAATATTATTATTATAATTATAGCTGTTTTGTAAAATCTTCTTTTTTTGTTTGGTTTATTCTTATTTTTTTCTATATAAGCAATTAAATTTTTGTTTAATAATTAATTTCACTTTCTTACCTTCATTTTGTTTATTTATTTAGTTCTGTTTTTTTTTTTTTTTTGTAAAATTTCGGTGTTTTTCATTTCATTGTTTTTGTATTTAAGTTGATCTTTTGAATTAATGGCATAAATTATTTACAAATGTTGTATAATTGTTTTCCCAGTTCTTGCATATCGCTCTAAAGTGATGCTTTTAAAAATTTAACTTATACTTAAGCTTATCTCGTATCCTTTAATTAAACAGATTGCTGTCAGTACACATATAATTAGCAATATCTTAAGACATAAGCGTTAAGAAATTGATTGTTGCTGCTAAAATTGTTGCTTGTTGCTTGTTTCTTGCTATTCTTGTAATTGAGATTAATTTTTATTTAGTATTACTTCTCTATTATCTATATTATTTATCTTTCTAAAATTGTAAAATTTATTTTCGTAAGATTTTTTTCTTCGACTTTGCCGTCTTTAATGACAGGAAAGACAAAAAAAAAAAAAAAAGAGTTAAGTTTACGTCTAAATTAGGAAAGTGCTTAAAGTTTTCAGCAAAAAATTTTTTGTGCTTACAATGGAGTTTATTGCATAAAGTGCGGACTGAAAGCACTACACGAACTATTTTCAACTTGCATGAATAATTTTATTTATATATATATTCCTGTTTTTGTTTTTCTTTTTCCTATATTTTATATATCATAGGGGAGAAGTGGTATAGTATTGCTTACGACCTCGTTTTTTTTTTTTTTTTTTTTTGTTTTCTTTGCTTTATAATTTTTCTCTTTTTTGTGCTCTTTTTTTTAATATTTTTAAATCTATAGTAGTTTCATGGAAAGACTTTACTAAATTTCATTTTTATATTTAGTTTATCAAGCGTAACTGACTCCTCTCAATCTAATCGTAGACTAACATGTAACACACATCCACTAGACTTTAATTTTAGATCATTTGCAGTATTAAGGTTTCGCGGTTAGTTACACTTTCTATCTACAGCGTATTATAAAAGTGATAGAAATATAAAAAAAAAGCATAAATGACCATTTCATAGTTCCTTCAAGCATACAGTTCAAGTGTAGTATCAAGTGGACAACCGCTTAACACTAACAAAGTGAGTTCAGTAAGATTCTAGTAAGAGGTGCGTAAGGCCACTGCCGACCCGTCACGCCATCTCTCCATCATCACTAACTGCCCGCACATTATCTGGCGATTATGTAAAACATCCTTTCAAACTGAACGAATATTGCCAACTACTTCCAAAAGTCTCTTTCATAGTCTCTCAATAGAAAGCGAATCTTGCAACTTGTTACAGCATATCTTGATGAATTTATGGAAGCAATGAATGCTCTTGAAAATGGCTATATTTATATAAAAGATACTGTTAATTGCGTTAGGTAATGGTTAACTATTTATTGGCATAAAGTATAGCTTCATTCATCCAAACACCCAAATAATGATGAAAGGGTATCAAGAATTTATTAATTAAAAATCTTCATCGATTGTCTCCTATTCGCAGGCACAGTCAGAGTCCAACCAACTTCCGTTCTCACCGGGATATTGGGTGGAGAAATAAAGTTATTGCCACATATGTGCGAGTTTGGGCAGACACAGCAAGTAAAGGGTATCGAACAAAATTCACGCAAGACTTGAATTTTGCTTCATTCGTGGGATCAATTTGCGTAACTTCCAACACTTTGGTCGACGTGCATCATAAAGCATAGAAGCATTTCGTAAGATTGTTGGTGTGAGTTCAATGACATCAATTCGGCTCAACAATTGGACATTTCGAGAAGTTATCCACGGGCGTACAATGTTCGAGTGACTCAAAAACTGGCGCCAGCTGATGGCGCATAATGCACAACGATTAGGGCGCGTTGAACGTTTCGAAAAACGGTTATCGAAAATTTCAACAAATTGGAGCCCCGTCTCCCAAGTTGCTATTCCATACAATATAACCTTAAATTCTACCCTTAAAGGATCATGAAATGATTTAGAATTTTTAATTGGAAGACTTTATTAATCGCCAAATTATTTTCTGTGTGAATTTTGGACCATCGTCAGCTCAGTTCTGGCATGTTTAGGAGTGCGTACAACATGGTGTTCCACTTGTTCCACAAATATAATAGATATGCAAGATATATAAATTCTCGCATGCTATACAAAACTATGGAAGCGGAAATGTTTTAATCTCAGCGCTCAGTACTTACTGAAAAGAACGAGATGCGGCAAAGAATGCTATTAAGCAAGAAATTTGACTTGCCTATCATTCACTGTAGCGGTGAAACCAAGTAAAACAGATCACTGCATACGCGTTGGTTGCATATATATTCTTTGGATTGAATGACAGGATAAAGATTACAGTGTAAAGTTAACGTTACGGTAAAAGTTAAGTTTAAACTCGGAGATATAAAATGAAACTTAAGATTAAAGTTATGGTTAAGTTTAAGGTAAAGTTTAAAATGAAAGTTAGGGTTGTTATTATCTTAAAGTGAGGGTTAAACTTTAAGTTTGTGCCCAAGGTCAAGTTTAAGTGATTCAAATGAGACTATGAAAGTTCCTTCTGCCGCCGGAGAGGCAGCTTCTTTCGGTTGATGCTTCCTTGTCACGCTAATCGCATGCTTTTGCGGCTAGCTTAACGATACGAATTGTCCGCTTAACTTTCAGTTAAAGTAGCCTGCGTTTAAATGGATATGGAAATGTTCTGATTTTTGATAATTATTTTAGACGATTCACACGGGGCTTTGTATGGTTAATGAATAGTTCTTACGCGTATCTCTTCTCTCTTTATAAGAATTTTGTCTCTTTAATAAGTAAATAAAAGATTAGTTAGTGGATGTGTTACTCAATGCTGTAAGAATTTCGAACAAGAATTAATATCCTATAACGGCGAAATGAAACGTATTTAACTTCTGATTGCATTTTTTAACATTTTTTCAGTTAGCGAGATAGTAAGCATACTACTTACAAAGTGAATAATGCGTTAAACAAACTCGTTGTCGAACTTTAATGTTTTCATACATTGCAAAAAGAATTGTAACAATATTTGCTTATTAAGTTTTATGTGTTTATTTTTATTTTTTTTTTTTTTTTTTGTAATATTTGAATATTTTTTCATTTATAATCTGTAATGTATAAATAGTT